GAGACCCATGAGAGCTAGGAAACTCCCCAGATATAGCATTTATTCATTAACTTATTAACAAATATTACTGAGTGCCTACTATGTGCCAGGCACTGTTTTCACTCTGGTGATATATCAGTGAGCCAGACAGAAAAAACTACAACTTTTCTGGAGTTTACACTCTAGTAACACATTCCCAAACCTCTATATCTCCCCCTATGTTCAACAAAAAAGTCTCTATTTCTAAGCTGTCTGGAGTTACCAAACATTTAAAACACCTTTGTAAATATTTCTCTTCTTATAATTAGAACTTCTCAATCATTCAAATATGATAAAAAGCAGCAGCAGTTGAAATTTGAAAATGCCACCAAAACATTCTGCAAACTAATTTTTTTTCCTTTTTTTTTTTAGTAGCCGAGGCTCTGACAGTTCAGAATCCAATGACTCTAACACTTATTTTCTGAAGTTAACTTCTCAGGTATGATTGAAAACTTTTGCTTATGGCATGGATATGTCAAGTAGGTACTGTTCTTACTGTGACTAACAATCAAACAAAAAAAAGTTTGCAGTTATATAATTATTGTATAGCGATAGTTATTTTCTGATTATGTACATATCTTTAAATCACAGAATTTTCTAACCTTAGGGTTCTTTTGTTCTAACACACTTACTTTGTTGATGAAAACAGTTAAGATCCAGAGAAATTAAAGTACTTCTCAGGGTCTGGATTGTATGTGTCTCCTGGCAAGTCTGCAGCTTCAGGCTGGCTGAAAAACAACTTCACACTCTTATAATAATGTCATCTTGCTCTATAACCAAGGTTCAAAATATCAAATAAACATGGGAAAGGAGGGAACTCAAAGAAATGCATGCCAAGAACAAAATAACCGTATCTTTCAAAAATTTGCCTACAGCCCATGCAGTTTTAGGTCCCAACATGGCTTCAGTCCTGCTCGCTCCAACACTAACTGAAATCCTGTATCCTTTTACTAACATCTCCCAGCACCACACACACATGCACGCACACCCGCCCAGCCCCTGGGAACTACTGTTCTACTCTCTACTTCTATGAGTTTGACTTGTTTTTTTTTTAACACTCCGCATGTAAGTGAGGCCATGCAGTATTTGTCTTTCTGTGCCTGGCTTATTTCACTCAACATAGCATTTTTTGGGTTCATCTATGTTGTCCCAAGTAACAGAATCTCCTTCTTTTTTAAGGCTAAATAGTATTCTATTGCATATGTATACAACATTTTCTATCTTTATCCATTCATCCATTGATGAACACTTAAGTTGATTCCATATATTGGCTACTGTGAATAATGCTGCAATGAACGTGGGAGAACAGATATCTCTTTGAGATAGTGATTTTATTTCCTTTAGATATATACACAGTAGTGTGACTGCCAGATTATATGGTAGGTGTAGTTCCATTTTTAATTTTTTGAAGAACCTCCCTACTGTTTTGGATTATGGCTGTACTAATTTACATTCCCACTAACAGTGTGCAATGGTCCTTTGTCTCCACAACCTTGCCAACCCTTTCATCTTCTTGACAATAGCCATTCTAAAAGATGTGAGGTGATCTCTCCTTGTGGTTTTAATTTGCATTTCTCTGATTATTAGTAATTTTTTCATATACCTGTTGGGCATTTGTATTTGTATGTCTTGTTTTGAAAAATATCTATTCAAAACCTCTGCCCCTTCTTCTTCTTTTTTTTTATTTTTTCTGTTGAGTTTTACATTTTTATTATGTGAAGACTGGCAATTGCTTCTTTTCTTTTATTAATATTATATTTTATATTCTATGATGTTGTTGCAGAGCAGTTGGGAGGGAGGGGAAGAGGGGAAAGGAGAAGGAAACGGGGTTGAAGAAAGAGGAAGGAGGAGGGGTGGGATTGAGAACTGCAGCACCCCCTCATTCCCACAGGGGAGACGGGGCTTTCAGCAGTGGCTTGGTCATTGCTGGGCTGGGTGCAGATGCTAGGGAGGTGTGGCAAAAGCCCTCACCTCCCACCTCCCCAGCTTGGGAACCTGGGGCCCTTCTTGCTGTGGCTTGGTGGTCATCACTGGGCTGGTTGCTCATGTTGGAGGGACGTGACCGAGGCCTGAGGCCCCCCACTGCCCTGGCTTGGGAGAGCTTGAGGATGCTTCCTGTGGTGGCTTGGTGGTCCTCACTGGGCGGGTTGCTCATGTTGGGGGGATGTGACTGAGGCCCAAGGCCCCCCACCACCCCAGCTCAGGAGAGCCCGGGGTGCTTCCTGTGGCAGCTTGGTGGTCATCAATGGGCTGCCTGGAGGTGTGGGGAGACCATGGCCGAGGCCCCCCACTGCACTGGCTTGGGAGAGCCTGAGGATGCTTCCTGCAGAAGCTCAGTGGTTGTCGCTGGGCTGGTTGCTTATGTTGGCGGGGCATGACCAAGGCCCAAGGCCCCCACCCTCAGGATTGGTTGCAGGTGTTGGGGGGCATGACTGAGGCCCCTGGCCCTTCCCCCTTTCTGGATTGGTAGCCCAGGGGACTTCTGGTCCTTCTATGTGTTATAGGTGTTCTTTGGTGAAATGAGACCCTTACTAGTTAATATCAAATTTTGTCTGTGGCTGTGGGTACTTTGTTTTTTCTTTCAGTTCTGTGTTGGATTATTTGCTGTTCCCACCACTCAAACTGTGTGCTGGAACTAATTTTCTGTCCTTTGCTTACTTCTGAAATGGGAGAACTTCCTGTGAGGACCAATACTTGATCTCTGTGGTTGAGCTAAATTGCTGCTTTGTTGCTGATTCCCTAGGCAAGGCTTTTTGTGCAGCTCAGCTTTTAATCATGGACTTTATAGGTATTTCCAGTTCTAGTGAAATCTGGTGCACCCGGCTTCTGTAGAAACACTGGTCTGGGCCTGAGTCTTTTTATCATGCAATTCTATATTCCTGACCAGTCTCCTCTGAGTGGTCCTATGCTGATTGGGGGGCAGATCAGCTGTCCTTGCTGTGCCCCAGTGTTCCCCAGGTGGGACAGTCTCCCCCACCACCTGTGCTCCAAACACCTCCCATGGGATGGGCCATGCTCTGGTCCCTTGTGATGACTCACTGGCCTCTGAGTGCTTCCTTGTTTTCAGTTGTTGTGGCTCCTCAGTCCTATGTGGGTCCACGAGAATCCTATTAGTGGTATCGCTGGCCTGAGGGCTACCAAGGCCCTCTTCTCCCCTACCACCTCCAAGCAACTTCATCTGAAAGGCACAGCTGCAGCCTTTTGCCAGCTCCTGTTCCATGAGCTCAGCAGCTTCAGCCTGGAAATGGCTGGGATTCGAAATGGTCGGAGGGGGGTTTTCTCTCTCATCATAGCTTCTCCCACCTTCATGCACTCTGTAGGTCTCTCCTCCTCTTCCCCTGAGCCCTAGAGGCCCCAGCTTGGCTGTCATTGCTTTTTTATAGTTGTAAATAGGTTGATTTGTGGGAGAGAGTAATGCTGGGGACCATCTATTCTGCCATCTTGACCAGAAGTCTGCCCATTTTTTCTATTTCTTTTCTTTTTTTTTTTAACCATAAACCAAAGATTATCATTTTCTAATCAGATTATGTGTTTTCTTACTATTGAGTTGTTTGAGTTCCTTATATATTTTGTATCTTATTCCATAGGTTGTCTCCTCACTCTGTTGGTTGTTTCCTTGGCTGTAAAGAAGGTTTTCAGTTTGATGTAATCCCATTTGTCTATTTTTGCTTTTGTTGCCTATGCTTTTAGGTTCATATCCATACTCACTGTGTCCAATGTCATGGAGCTTTTCCCCTATATTTTCTTCTAGTAGTGTTACAGTTTCCAGTCTTATGTTTGAGTCTTTAATCCATTTTGAGTTGATTTTTGTACATGGTGTGAGAAAAAGGTCTAAGTTCATTCTGTATGTGGATATCTAGTTGTCCTGATACCATTTATTGAAGAGACTGTCCACATTTGTGTTCTTGGCACCTTTGTCAAAAATCAATTGACCATAAATGCACAGATTTGTTTGTGGGCTCCTCTATTCTGTTCAATTGGTCTGTGTGTCTGTTTCTATAACAGTACCATACTCTTTTGATTACTATAGCATGGTAGTACATTTTGAAGTCTAATACTGTGATGTCTCCAGCTTTGTTCATTTTACTCAAAATTCCTTTGGCTATTTGGGCTCTTTTGTGGTTCCATAAAAATTTTAGGATTGTTTTTTCTATTTCTGTGAAAAATGTCATTGGAATTTTGAAAGAGATTGCATTGAATCTGTAGATCACTTTGGGTAGTATGAACATTTTAACAATATTAATTCTTTTGATCCATGAACATGGGGCACATTTTCATTTATTTGTGTCATTGTCTATTTCTACTTTCTATTTTAGCCATTATGATATGTATGTTGTAGTTTTAATTTGCATTTCCTAATGGCTTATGATGTTGAACATCACTTCATGTGTTTATTTGCCTGTTCCCCTGCTTAGCCTTCTCAGACACTACTTTGGAGAAGGTGTTGGGATACCTCCTTAGAGCCAGCATGGAATTTGAGGCTCCCACTCAGCCTTTGTTGGCATGGGTGACTATATGGGTCACAGTTTTTTCTGTGGTGTTAGGCATGAGTAGAACAGTTATTATCCAAAAGGTTTTGTTCTTTTTAGGCTGCCCCTCTTCTGGTCCTTTGGCTAGAGGACACAGGCTTTTGTTGGGTCTTTTAAAAATATTCATTCACTGGCATTTCTGAGTTACTGGCTTCTCCACCTTTAAGGCTGGGATATATGAGACAAAAAGGAAATCTAAGGAGTGCCACATCATTCTGCTTCTCTGCTCCTGAAATCTCTAGCTGTTCTGCCATCTCTTTTTACCTTTTAGAGCTTCTTATGTTTGTTTTGTGTAAAATATCTAAGGTATTTGGTTGTATGTAGTGAGAGAAATAGATACAAAAGTTCTCCATCTTCTTAGAAGTAGAAGCCTCAAGATAGTTTATGTCTCCATATATACTAACTTATATGTGTTGACTAAATATTGATTTTATATATGATTCATTTATCTAGATAAAAACCAAGAAAAAATACCTGAAAACAAAGAAGGAAAGGAATTCTATCTTAGCAAGCCACCAAAATGCCAGAGAAGAGCAAAAGGTAAATCGTCATTGATCTGGTTAAGTTTTTGAAAAAAATAAATGCAAGAGATTGGCAAGTTATTTTCTCTTCTCTTATACCCTAATTTTTCCCCCAGGGAAAGTTAGTGATTAAAATTTTACTCATATTATTTACTGTTTATACAAACACAAACAATCCTTGGCAAATGAGAGGTGAGTCTTATTAAGGTACCATATTTAAATTTCACTTATACTTATCTTACTCTAAAAAGTATTTAAGGATGCTTATTAACACGCACCCAGGGTGGCAAGAAGAAATTAAAACTAAGAAAAATTAAATGAGAATATAAGGGTATAAAAATAGATGGTGCTGAGAGATTGACTTCTACCATGACAGCATGAGGAGCTCTGAAAATCCATTCACCAGCAAAACTGGTGAAAATTATTTAAGGGGGAAAAAAAACCATTTAAAGTCTCTGGAAATGGTCTAATGGCATACAGCAAATTAAAAAAAAAATCTATTCAAGAAAATCTTCTAAAACTCATTAAAACAGCAAAAGCCTGTGGGATTTGAATCAAGACTGCTTCTTCCCTCCCCACCTCCCAGCTCAGTAAGACAGAAATGCCATTCCAGGCTAGTGCAGCCAAGAAAATAGGGCTCCTTCTCTCCACAGCTACAAGAGGGCTATCTTCCCAGGAGGGGCAGGATGTCAGTATTTTTTATCCTGCCTCCAGCTACCTGTTCCTAAGGCTAAATTCCAGTTGAATAAAGACAAGAGATGGGGGCTTCCTTCTTCTACTCAGAACCCCATTCATGGGATGAAAACTCACCTCGGGTGCTATACCACTGAGAATACTTGGGCCCTGATCATCCTTGCTTTGGCTTGTAAAATGGTGATTCCACACTAGAAGAGGCAATTGGAGAAGACCTAGGGCTACTGCCCTCCTTCCATCTATATCTCAGTTCCTAAACTAGGGATATGACTCAGAGAGCAGAGTGCCATTGACTCCACCTCCAGCTCCAGAGCAAAGGCTTAGAAACTTTGCCTTGAGGGAGAATCAGGCCATAAAGCAGATAGCCTAATGTCTTCCCAAAAGAACTGACTTTATTTGCAACAGAGCATGGAGAAATTCAAGCTTAAGCGCATCCTCAAAACCAGTGCAACTATGATAAAAAACAATTAAGAGGAAATTGGTAGATTCATTGGATATACAGGCTAAATTGTATACTAGCTAGTTTGCTAGAAAGAACTGGGGAAAGAGACAGCTGGGAGGAGCCCTACTGGGGTCAGAACAAATCTCAAACACTGACCTCCAGAACTGTTCATTCAAAGGAGCCTGAATTTGATTGGATTAGTCAGAAGAGCAAATTATGCCAGAGGGCATTGTTGAAGACAACAGAGCAATCAGCCAGAAATTAGTGGAGTTTAACAGCTGGGTGTGGTCAGGGAAAGAGACTTTCAAAGAGAGCCCTGCTAAATACATTGTCATCAGGGGGTGAATGTGGACATAGCCAGATATGCACTCCTGAGAACCAACACTGGAGTCTTAGCACTGCAGGAGGGAAATGAACTTATTAAAATAATACAGCCAGTTAACAGACAAATAAGCAAATAACAACAACAAGCCCTGGAAGAGGTGGGAGGAGGAAAACCAGTACCCAGAGTTCACTAGAATTGTCTAGTTGGAGAATAAGCCTGACAAAAACAAATGAAGGACAATTAAAGTGACATACTGAAAGAAAGTGAGCCAAAACGCCAGGGACAGATCAAGCTTTACTAAAGGAAAAGCATCTGCTGGGCTGCCCTCAAAATGGAGGACAGCACCAATACAGGGCACCAAGGGCTGGCTGATACAATCAAGGAGGGGCATTATGCTAATACGAAGCTATGTGACCAGGGTGGAGAATTGCACCCTTGCAAAGCAAAAGGGTTTCTGTTTTGCAGAAGTCAGGAGGCTTCTCCTAAAGGGAAGGGGGGAGGGGTTTGGTGCTGGAGTAGAAGACAAGGCCAGCAGCTATTTTGTGCTTATTGTGTGCACAATGGTGCCGGTCACGCCCAAGATCCATCACATACTTAGTTGAAAAATCCATCCTTGGATCCAGTCAATCAATCCATAAGCCTCTGTTACCTACAGAGAAACCAGTCATTGGAGAAGACCTGAGTACCACACCCAGAAGATTAGGAGATTTGTACTCAAACATCCAAACAAATAAAAAATATCAAAAGTTGGTTTGAAAATATAGTGGTGATCAAACACCAGTAGGAAATTTAAAGTGAGCAGTGACAAGATCATTCAGCAAATATTGGGCACCAAATACAGAGCCATCTGCTAAATGTGGATTGAATTAACAGAATCTAATTTCCAACAAACTTTTGAAATTATTTTTCTCTCTTACTCACTTAACTATTTTTTAAATTTTTTATTTAGAAATAATTATAGATTCACAGGAAGTTGTAAAAAAAGAATATGCAGAAGGTACCATGCACCCTTCACTCCTCTTCCCCCAATGTTAGTATCTAGTGTAAATATAATACTCTATCAACACCACAAAATTGACATTGATACAGTCCATAGAGCTTACTCTGATTATAAATATGCATGCACTCATTTGTGCACGTGTGTGTACAAACAGTTCTATGTAATTTTATCACATTTGTGTCTTCATATAACTATCACCACAATCAAGATACAGACTGTCTCATTACCACATAAGGCTCCTTCATGGTACCCTTCATAGCCACCCCTGCTCCCTTCACCCACAAATTCTAACCCGGAGCAACCATTTAATCTGTTCTCCATTCTAAAATTACATTATTTGAAGAATGTTATATGAATACCAGAAAGTTTTTTCTGGTAAAACCTCTAATTAATCTCACTGTGTGAAGTCATTTGTAGGACCCAATAACCAAAGCAAGGTTTAGTTTGGGGATTTTTTTTTTTTCATATATATGTATTGCATGAAACATTTATTTAGTTCTCTGTAGTCACATAGAGGTTTTTCTCATCTATCCAACTTATATTTAAGATAAAATATGATAAATTCCTCTATATTAAATGCTCATGTATTTGCATCTTTCTTAATTGGAGTTTTAAAATTGTCATGAAATCATAATTTATATGTAATTTAGATATTTCCAAATGGAAAATAATCTTTATTTGGTCAAATGCTTTCAGAAAATTGCATACATTCTAAGAATGCCCATAAGCAAATAGGAGTTTGTGGTCACTAATCCTGAAATTTCTTTTCTACTTATCTTGAAAAAAAAAAGAGTGAACAATCTCATTTTAACTAAAGTAAATGGCTGAGGACAACTTAAATCCATGCTCTTGAACTATTTGTTATTTTAATTGTTTGCTCGTAAGACATCAGCACATCCCAAAAATATTATTGGCAAATTATTTTTAAAGTATTTTGGTTAACTTTGTTTTCCACCAAAACACTCTCAGTCATTGATTTTGAAGACTTTCAGCAAAAGCAATTATAGATTACTATGGTTAGAAATTGTAGATCACATTCATAAGATCACCGGTGATATTTTTCTATGGGATAAATGTAATAGTTGATTATGACTCTCAGCATCATTTCACTCAAGTGATGAGGTCTAAAAATGACACCCAGATTTCATCAAATCAAGGCTTATTGCAAATAAATTTTCTTCAGCCTGATTTCACCCCTTGTCTCTCCAAATTCTAGTGATTACATATTGCTACTTTCAACTTTGTGTCATTTTTTCTAGAATATTTCTTTCTCTTTCCCTTCAATAATAAAGATTTGATTTTAAAATTTTTCTCTCATTTTCACACTGATTATAACAATTTTATCTGCCAATCAATTATACCTATAAAGAAATAGATTTTAGCTTTTAATTCTATTTCATGTTTCACTTATATTGTGCATGGATGTGCATTTCATGTTGGCAAAAATGTTTTTAATTTTTTCCTTCCTCAGTTCCTTTTGGAAAATTCTTTATAGTATTCATATGCCACAGATACAGAAACAAAAGTATGGAGCATTTTAAATGATTTCATGGTCACATAATGATTTGTAGACTAAAGATTAGCAATCCCAGTTCCAGTGTTTTGTGTTTCTTTTAGTCTAACTGGGTCATATTGGCAAGTCCTTTCAAGATAGAAAGCAGTGTCATATGTTTATGCTCTTCCTTACTCTGGACTTCTTTACAAGCTTCAAAAAATATTTTTTGTCTTTTGAATATAAACACAGTTTTGCAATATGTTTATATATTTTCATATAGTTTTATATATCTTTACCCATTTCACACTCTTATCCTCCTATGTCTTATTCTTCCAATTTAAGTGAGATTATAAGCATACCATTTTTTTCTATTCCATCTCTTCCACATCATAAATAAGTTACATGTGATGTGGAAAAAATTTTTAATCTCTTTGATGCCAAAATATAATATCAATATTTTCTTTTGTTCATTGATACAGGAGAAAAGTAATGTTGTGAAAGATACTAGCAGGTTCTGATTTATGAGCTATTTTTGGTCATTCTAAACCTAGAAGGATAAAATGAGAACTGTTTGTTGAAGACCCATCATACCATAAATCACATAGGAAATACACCTCATTTTCATGTTTATAACACAGTATTTTTTTCCTTCTGATTCTGTGTTCCACTAGGTCTATGGTAGAGGAAACTTACTGCAAAGAAACAAAGAATCAAATTCTGATGTGAAAGGTAATGTTCTGCTTCTACTTGCTTATAAACAATTAACTCATTTACTCAACAAACACTTTTTTGTGCCACAACTTTGAGGTTGTCACTGTGCCTGGTACTAGGGATATTAAGAAGTATATTAAAGAAGACCCCGGAATGTAAATTCCTTGTCTTCCCCTTGTTTTAATTTTGCAACTGGAATGTGCTTGCTTGTAAGGGACACCTAAGAGTGTGTTAAGTGTTAACAGTTAACTGCATCTTCAGCTTCTGTAATTCTGCGGTTTTGCCTGGCTGTCAGCTTTGTCTGTGTGTGAGAGAAGCTCTTCAGTGACTCTGTGGTCAGAGCCTGTCAGCTTGGCCTGTGTGTGTGAGACACTGGCAGGCTCCGTTTGCAGAAAGCCCCCTAACCACATTTTCTGCTTCTGTGACCCAGTTTAATGAAGCCCCTTACCCACATTGTGAAGCCCCCAGTTTGAGTAACTCTGTCTAGATACAGATAGAGCCAATAAGAAAGCTTGCATGCTTGCTCAAGAAAGGTATATAACCCCAGTTTTCCCTGCATTCGGGGCCCAGAAATTTGGAATGGGAGTTTACCTGGGACTGCTAGCATAATAAATCATCTGATTTCATCTCTCTGAGTGTCTGCGTTTCCTTGGTTGCTTTTTCCATAACAATATGCTGCCATATCTTCCCTGCAGGAATTCATCTTTTAATCAGGGCAGAAAAACACGTAAACAAGTTTTGCACAGTGTTACAGGGGCAATGCCAGTAGTCGATTCAGGGTTACCAAGGAGCAAAGAGAAAGGAGTAGTCAATTACGTTAGACGGTGGAGAGGTCCACCTATTTGAGGATAGCCCCAAGGTTTTGTTTTTGTTTTTGTTTTTTTTTTTTTTTTTTATTTTGTCAATATACAATGTATATGATTATTATGGCCCTTCACCGACACCTCCCGCCTTCCTCCCTCTCTCCCCTCCCCCCCAAGCATGTCCTTTCCGTTTGCTTGTTGTAACAACTTCAAAAAAGTATAGTTGTTATATCTTCTTCGCCCCCCACCCCCCCGGTGCTGAGTAGTATTCCATTGTGTAGATATACCACATTTTCTGTATCCACTCATCCGATGATGGACATTTGGGTTGATTCCAGCTCTTGGCTATTGTGAAGAGTGCTGCAATGAACATTGGGAAACAAGTGTACCTTCGACTTGATGATTTCCATTCCTTTGGATATATTCCCAGCAGTGGGATAGCTGGGTCGTATGGTAGGTCTATCTTCAGCTGTTTGAGGAACCTCCAAACCATTTTCCATAGGGGTTGCACCATTGTGCATTCCCACCAACAGTGTAAGAGAGTTCCTTTTTCTCCGCAGCCACGCCAGCATTTATCTTTCAGTGTCTTTTGGATTTTGGCCATCCTAACTGGGGTGAGATGGTATCTCAGTGTGGTTTTGATTTGCATTTCCTGGATGCTGAGTGATGTTGAGCATTTTTTCATATGACTGTTGGCCATTTGCATATCTTCTTTAGAGAAATGCTTACTTAGTTCTTTTGCCCATTTTTTGATTGGGTTGCTTGTTTTTTTCTTGTAAAGTTGTTTGAGTTCTTTATATATTCTGGATATTAGTCCTTTGTTGGATGTGTATTTTGCAAATATTTTCTCCCACTCTGTTGGTTGTCTTTTAGCTCTGTTAATTGTTTCTTTTGCTGTGCAGAAGCTTTTTAGTTTGATATAGTCCCATTTGTTTATTTTTCCTTTGGTTGCCTGTGCTTTTGGGGTCATATTCATGAAGTCTGTGCCCAGCCCTATTTGCTGAAGGGTTTCTCCTATGTTTTCTTTAATAAGTTTTATTGTTTCGGGGTGTATATTTAAATCCTTGATCCATTTTGAGTTGATTTTAGTACATGGTGAGAGGTATGGGTCTAGTTTCAATCTCCTGCAAATGGATATCCAGTTATCCCAGCACCCTTTGCTGAAGAATAGCCCCAAGGTTTTGAAACTCTTCTCCAAGCAGAGTATAGGGATTTATGCTTTAAAAACCATCTTGTTCCTTTCATTTTGTAACTAAATAGAGGATGAACCAGGAGAGAAATTAAATGATAGGCTGTTCACTTGCTTCTGCTGCAACCTGCTAAAAGTCTGATATGGGATCTTTAATGGACTAGGATCCCTGGTTTTTGTTTGTTGCTTTTTTTTCTTAATTTCTGTCACCTTATTTCTAGTTGAGGTCTTTTGGGGAAAAAAATCTCAAATTTAAGCAATATTTTGATTTTAATTATTTAATTTTATGTGTATATGTATTAGTTTATTATACATTTATATTGCACAACCTACATCCAAAAAGAATTTGAGGTAACTTAAAAATATATATACAGCATATATACTTGTACATATATCCATATAGTTTGTGATATAGCAGACTAATTAAAAATAGAAATGGAGATAAGAACCACACTAAGACGGTCCAGGTTTCCATCCTTGTACCAGCCAGCCAAAACAAAAGAACCATACTACAGAAAGGGGAGAATTCTGTTATAATTAAGATGGTTAATTCGCTTGAACTTTAAGTTAGCGATTCTTTCTGATAGTGATCAGCTAAGCAATTCGGTTGCTTTTTTTATGTAACTTTTATGTATTCTTTTGTTAAAAATTAAGTCAAAAATTAGAAAGAAAAATACAGCACTATTCACAATAGCCAAGATATGGAATCAACCCAAGTGTCCATCAACAGATAAATGGATGAAGAAAATGTGGTATACGTACACAATGGGATACTATTCAGCCATAAGAAAGAATGAAATCCTGTCATTTGTAGCAACATGGATGAGCTTGGAAGATATTATGTTAAGTAAAGTAAGCCAGGAAGGGAAAAAGAAATAACGCATGTTCTCACTCATGTGTGGGAGCTGAGAAAGTTGATCATGTAGAGTAGAGTAGATGGGCAGTTACCAGAGTCTGGAAGGGGAAGAGGGAGGACAGGGAGAGGTTGGCTAAAGGATACAAAGGTACAGCTAGGTAGGCAGAATGACATCTAGTGTCCTATAGCACGGTAGGGTGACGATAATTACAGCAACTTGTGTATAGTTTCAGTTAGAAAGAAGAGAGGAGTTTGAATGTTCCTAACACAAAGAAATGATAAATGTTTGAACTAATGGGGAAAAAATCAATGGTTGCCAGGGTTTCAGGAAAGGAGGGAAGAAGGGAAGGAGGGAGGAATGAACAGGTGGAGCACACAGGACTTTTAGGGCAGCAAAACTACTCTGTATGATAATGTAATGGTAGATACGTGACATTATGCATTTGGCAAAACTCATAGGACTGTGCAACACATAGAGGCAACCCTAATGCAAAGCTGAGTTAATAATAATACATCAGTATCGGTTCATAGTTCTAACAAGTGTAGCACACTAACATAAGATGTTAATAATAGGAGAAACTGTGTGTGCACAGGGGAGGATATGGGGAGTATCTGCACTTTCTGCTCAAACTAAAACGGCTATAAAAATAAAGTTTGTTACAAAGGGGGAGGAAAAAAAGGAAGTGTCATAGCTCAAAGGAAGAGTCTAAGGAGACATGACAACTAAATGTAATGCAATATTCTGAGTGAGATACTGGGACAGAAAAAAGATACTAGTAAATCTGATAAAATATGGAGCTCAGTAGATAAAAATGTACCAATATGATTTCATTAGTTGTGACAAATGTACCATACTAATATAAGATATTAGTAACAGGAGAAACTGTGTGCAGGGTATGTGGGACCTCTTATACTATTTTAGCAACTTTTCTGTAAAACTAACACTATTTTAAAATAAAAAGTTTATGTATACAGAAATAAAAATTGTTTGGGACGTTGGTGGCGTAGTGGTGAGAAATAAAAATTGTTAGAAACTTTTAAGGTAAAACAGGAAAAATTAAATATATGTTATATTTCACAAAAGATAAGGTTAAAAAAGTAAAAATCACATTTTACAAGATTTATTTTAGACATTTTCCTTATATCTATACACATACACTCCATGTTAATGAATCATATAATCTTCATGTTATTTTGAAACCTACTTTTTTCATTTAAAATTACCATATATTATAACCCCTTTACATGTGAATAAATGGTGGTAAAGTATTCCATTCTATTAGTTATCTTAATTTATTTAGCCACCCCCATTGTTATACTTTTATGTTGTTTCCAACTTTTTTCTATTGTAAACAACAATGAAAATCTTATAACTCTCTATTTGTGTGTATTCTTAATTATTTCTTTATAATATATTCCTAGAAAAGGAATTGCTGGCCCAAAAAGGTATGAACATTTTAAAATGCAACAAAAATTCATAAGATGTGAAGACCACTTATATTAATATCATTGAGCTAAACTACTAACTAGACGTTATTTGCTAGCATTTTTCATTTCTAAAAAAGATGAAAAATGTGAAATTTCAACAGGTCAGTGAATTACTTTCATGCTACTATGATCTTTTACTATCTTCTCTAGCTACAAGGCCAAATGTACCAGATGATTATACAGTGGATTACCTCAGAAGACAGTTGCCCGATCAAGGTTTGGGTGAGTAGAATAGGACGATAGACCTCAACGAGTGGTTACCTGTCATCTGAATGTGAGCAATATAACAATATGTCTCTGATCAAGTCCTACACATGGATTATCTTAAAGTTAGATAGCCAAGGAACAATTCACCTTCCCAGAAATTCCAAAATTCAATTTTTTTTTCTCTAGCTCTAGAAACACATAGGGGAAACCAGTTAAAATTCATTATGTGTCAACCTGCTCCTTCATAATTTTACCCAGTCCAAAAAAAAAAAAGAATATTTACCTCATTGTCTAATCTTTTCACTCCCATCTCACCAAACCTTAGAGCAGAGAGAACCCTTGAGAGTACTCTAGTGTCACCTCCTGCTCATTACAGGATCCAGGCTCATCCAACCTGCCATGGACTACACTTGGTGATAGTTCATTCCACTGTTAGAGAGCTACAGCATTGAAAAGTTCTTCTTGTTTTGAGTTAAAAACAGATGTACCTGTAAATTTCACCCACCTCCCTTAATCTGCCCTGTCTCATAACACAAATAGTGAAGAAGCCTTAAAAGTAAACAATTCTGACTCATTTTCCTTGAGGCAATGAGAACAATTGTAATACCTTTCTACATATTAGAGCTTAAATATTTTTTTAAAGCTATTATTTATTTCCCTGAAACTTTCCTTCCATTTCTTTCAACGATCCATAATACACCATGATTCAAGTCTCTTTACCATCTTATTTTACTTTTATCTGTTACTATTCAAGCTTAAATGAAACTATACACAGTACTGCAGATGTTGCCTAACAAGTGCACAATAAATCTCACTCTCATTTACTTCTTTCTACATACCAGATTTCTACTAATGCAGTTTAAGATTGTATTTGTCCTTTTGAAAATTATCATAAAATATTGACATATTGGATTTACATACACTCAAATCTACAATGTTTTATTTTAATTGACACATTGTAAATGTACATATTTATGGGGTACAATCTAATGTTCTGATACATATACATGTTGTATAATAATCAAGTCAGGATAGTTAGCATATCCATCACTTTATGCATTTATCATTTCTTTGTGGGGAGAACATTCAAAAGCCTCCCCTCTACCTGTTATGCAGTATACAAACTTAGCTGTTAACCATAGTCAACCTCCTGTGCAATAGAACACCATTGCTCCTATCTAATTGTAATCTTGCACCTGTTGGCCAACCTGTCCCTGTTTTCTCTTCTCCCCTCCCCTCCCCAGGCTCTGGTAACCACTGTTCTATTCTATGCCTCTATAATATCAACTTTTTTTTTTTTTTTAGACTCCACACACGAGTGAGATCATGTGGTATGGTTTTTCTGTGCCTGGCTTATTTCATTTAACATCCAGGTCCATCCATGTTGCTGCAAATGACAGGATTTCATTCTTTTTTATGGTTCAGTAGTATTCCATTGTGTATATGTAATACATTTTTTAATCCATTTATCCATTGTTGGACACTTAAGATGATTTTATATCTTGGCTATTGTAAATAATGCTGCAATAAACATGGTAGTGCAGATATCTCTTCGACATACTGATCTTATTTCCTGTGGGTATATACCCAGTAGTGGGATTGCTGGATATGTAGTTCTATTTTTAATCTTTTGTGGAACATCCATACCGTTTTCCATAATAGCTGTAGTAGTTTATACTCCCACCAACAGTGTACAAGTGTTACCTTTTATCCATATCCTTGGCAACACTTGTTTTCTTTTGTCCTTTTGATAATAGACATTCTTTTTTTTTTTTTTTTTTTTTTTTTTTT